CCACGAAACGCTGTACTGGGTGGGTGAGACGCGGTCAGCAAGGGCTGTGCTGCGTGGTGGCGGACGCATGCGAGCGGTGCCACTGGGACCTTCGGTGGAGCTCCCTATGGGGCCACGAAACGCTGTACTGGGTGGGTGAAACGCAGGCAGGGAGCAAGGGCTGCGCAGGGTGGTGGCGGACGCATGCGGGCGGTGCCGCTGGGACCTTTGGTGGAGCTCCCTATAGGGCTACGAAGCGCTGTTCTGGGTGGGTGAAGCGCAGGGAACAAGGGCTGTGCTGGGTGGTGGCGGACGCAAGCGGGCAGTGCCACTGGGACCTTTGGTGGAGCCCCCTATGGGGCCACGAAACGTGCGAGGGGTGTGCCAGAATGGGGTGTGGAACCGCATGCCAGCGCAGCCACTGGGGCCTTCGGTGGAGCTCCCTATGGAGCCACGAAGCGTGTGAGGGGTGTGCCGAAATGGGGGGTGGAACCGCATGCGAGCGCAGCCACTGCGGCGTTCGGTGGAGCTCCCTATGGGGCCACGAAACGTGTGAGGGGTGTGCCGAAAATGGGGGTGGAACCACATGCGAGCGCAGCCACTGGGGCGTTCGGTGGAGCTCCCTATGGAGCCGCGAAGCGTGTGAGGGGTGTGCCGAAATGGGGGGTGGAACCGCATGCGAGCGCAGCCACTGGGGCGTTCGGTGGAGCTCCCTATGGGGCCACGAAGCGTGTGAGGGGTGTGCCAGAATGGGGGGTGGAACCGCATGCGGGCGCAGCCACTGGAGCCTTCGGTGGAGCTCCCTATGGGGCCACGAAACGTGTGAGGGGTGTGCCAGAATGGGGGGTGGAACCGCATGCGGGCGCAGCCACTGGGGCCTTCGGTGGAGCTCCCTATGGGGCCACGAAACGTGTGAGGGGTGTGCCAGAACGGGGGGTGGAACCGCATGCGGGCGCAGCCACTGGGGCCTTCGGTGGAGCTCCCTATGGGGCACGAAAGCGTGTGAGGGGTGTGCCAGAAATTGGGGGGTGGAACGCATGCGGGCGCAGCCACTGGGGCTTCGGTGGAGCTCCCATTGGGGGCACGAATAACGTGTGAGGGGTGTGCAGAATGGGGGTGTGGAACCGCATGCGGGCGCAGCCACTGGGGCCTTCGGGGAGCTCCTATGGGGCCACGAAAACGTGTTGAGGGTGTGCCAGAATGGGGGGTGGTACCGCATGCGGGCGCAGCACTGGGGCCTTCGGTGGAGCTCCCTATGGGGCCACGAAACGTTGTGAGGGGTGTGCCAGAATGGGGGGTGGAACCGTAGCACTGGAGATCTTCCGGTTTACGGCAGCGGGGCCTTCGGTGGAGCTCCCTATGGGGCCACGAAACGTGTGAGGGGTGTGCCAGAATGGGGGGTGGAACCGCATGCGGGCGCAGCCACTGGGGCCTTCGGTGGAGCTCCCTATGGGGCCACGAAACGTGTGAGGGGTGTGCCAGAATGGGGGTGGAACCGCATGCGGGCGCAGCCACTGGGGCCTTCGGTGGAGCTCCCTATGGGGCCACGAAACGTGTGAGGGGTGTGCCAGAATGGGGGGTGGAACCGCATGCGGGCGCAGCCACTGGGGCCTTCGGTGGAGCTCCCTATGGGGCCACGAAACGTGTGAGGGGTGTGCCAGAATGGGGGGTGGAACCGCATGCGGCGCAGCCACTGGGGCCTTCGGTGGAGCTCCCTATGGGGCCACGAAACGTGTGAGGGGTGTGCCAGAATGGGTGTGGGAGGGGGAAGAGGGGGGAGGAAGGGGAGGAGGAGGAAGGAGGAGGAGGAACGCGGGGCACCGTCTCTTCAAAACGAGGACCCAACACCACAGGATGTTTGGGAATGATCTGGGGACGATTTGTTGGATCATTGTTTGAGCATTTTGGGGGTATTGTTTGAGTTTTTTTATGTTTCGCCCAAAATCCCCCTGTGGGGGGACACGCCCGACTTAAGTTCAGCTACGTGTGCCTCCCTGGGCCTCTTCCCCTGCGGCGGCCTCCGAGGGCCCACCGGGGCAGCACCCGCCCGCCCGCGCCGAGGAGGACTGGTCCGTGGGCGGGAGCGCCAAGACGCCGTCCTCGCGCCGCCACCGGGACGGCGACAGGCCCGCGGCGGCCCGGGCTGTGCGCGGGGGGCTCGCTCGGAGGGGATCGGCTGGCGGCCAAGGGGAGGACATCAGTAAGTCGGGCCTGTCTCTCTCCAGGGGGAACATTCAAAAATAGTAAACAAAATAGTCTGTGGGCGATGTTTTGACTATGTTTGCGCATTTGAGGGGCATTTTTTTAGTATTTGTCATTTTCCGCCCAAAATCCCCCTGTAGTGGGGGCGCGCCCACGCGTCCTGCCGGATGCTTGGCTCTGTGTGTGTGTGTGCGAGGGGGACACGCCCGACTTGAGGATATCATGGCGGGGGCCAGGATATCTCCACAGATTTCATGGCGCCTCTTCTTATTTCAATGCGTCCCTGGCCTCCCCCCGGCCGCGCACATGCCGCCGGCCA